CTCCCCCTCAGCACCGCGAGGTGTCAGGGCAGCGCCGCGGGCCCAGCCCCGGCTGCAGCGAGAGCGGCTTCACCGCCAGGAACACCGCGAGCCGGCCCGAGCGCTTAAACACGCACCTTCAGCAGAGAACCTCTCCCTTCTTCCTCTTTCACTGACAAGTTAATGAGTGGCATGAGTGTCCTTTTTTTTTTTCCCCCCCCAATTTATTAGTAACATTTAATACAAAATTTTTAAGGCGATGTGGGATAAACAAGATAGCTACAGGACTAGCGGAACAAAGTTTGGTTATAAACTGACATTTCATGTATTCTTTTAAAAGAAAGTTCCATATCTCTCATCTCCAAAATTAAAAGGCAGAAGGTTAGAAGGTTCTGGTTCCCAGAAAAACAATCCTACTTCCTACGCTTCTTCAATTTCTTACAGAAGTCTCCATCTCTGCTCCTACTAGGCTGAAATTATTTAAAACATTAAATAATACTTTACAGCTGCATGCTTTCCTCCAACAGGACATTTTCTCATGGCTTTAATGTACCCGTATGTATTGTTACAATTTGATAACCTTAGTGGTACATAATCTTCGCTCAGAAACACTCCTGCAGTATAAGCCCAGGGTGATGAAATAACCTTGTAATGGGAACAGATTAATTGCCTAAAGCCATCTGGGGTCAGCTCCCAACCTTTTCCCTCAGGAAGGACTTGCTGGAAGTCCTCACTGAACAGAATTTATTCATTTGTAGCATTGCCCAAAATGGGATTTCCTGCTGCAAATTTTTCCTGTTGCAGAAGTTCATTATTTAAAAGCTGTTGATTTCTTTCAGCTGATCTATAGTGGTCTGTCACCAATGCATACTCAGTGACCTCCTTTTTGTGCAAAATATATTTATTCTAATTTTTTTTTTTTTATTTATAGATCATATAGACAATTAAATCCTTGCTAAATTACTTCCAGAGAAGAATCAAATTTAGGTATGGTACAAAGGACAGACACAGCTACTTCTGAAGGTAGAATAATTTAGCTTTATATAATATGAACCCAAGTAATTTCACAACTTGAACTTCAGCAGTTATCCTTTAAGAAATATCTTCTGGTGCACTAAGCCCTTTTCTGGTGAGACAAGCTGCTCAGGAAAGGACCTAGTGGGATATAAGTGGAAGAATATTCCAATACAAGTATAGAAGTATTTCACAAAACGGGCAGATAGGTCTTTCGGCTTTCCTGTATTGAAGACAATAATTACAGGCCAGAAACCTCAAGAAATAATTTTCTGCAGAAGGCCATGCACTTTAGGTTTAGCTAAGCCATTCAGCTTCTTTGTTCAAGCAGAATAAGAACAGCATGCAGGATCCAAGGTGCAGATTGATTAAGCAATCAGTTGCAAATCTGACTCATGAGCAATCAATAGTAGCACAAGAGTTTTCAGGCTTTCTGCAAATTGTTTTGCAGGACAGTCATTTTACCATTGTGGGTCAGAAATGACAGATGCAAGTGACTAATTTACAGTGTGACATCCCTTCCCAGAGCACAAGGAAGCTGTTCACAAAAGGGGAAATGCATGACTAATTATTTCCCCCATCTGCATTTCACTGAATATAAAGGATAATTTGCCCAGCCTTGTTTTGTTACTGGCTAATTGTGACCTGAATGATGTAATCTGAGTGAGTAAATGCCCCAACAGCAATACAGAGCTTGGGGGAGGCTGCAGATTTTCTATATGTGGCCTTTGCAAAGTGAGGCCATAAAAACTTTGAGTTACTGAGTAATTATGGAGCTAGTAAATCTTCACTCTTTTTGTTTAACACCCCAGTTTCCACTTGTCCTTTCATTCAGATCTTTCCAAAACAGACACTTATACTGAGCACTTTCTCTGCTTCTCAGGAGAAACATAAGAAAAACTAAATTATTTTCAAAAAACGAGTCCACTTTTATCAATAGCCCATGCTTTCCAGCCAAGAGAAAAATATAAGTAGGCAACCACATAGTTTTTGCCATCCTTTGGGAAAAGCAATCCAAACATGATGAGATCACAATACTTCAAAAGTTTCAGCTTGTTGACACCAAAGAAACATGAATTTGTTCATTTAGCAGCAAATGGGAATGATTGTTTTCTCTGCAAAGACCACACTGCACTTTGGTGGTCAAGTGGACTGTTTGCTCTTCTTTCTACTTTATTTCTCATCGAGGGAGTTGAGACTGTGGATACCACTGTCTGCCAGTCCATTACTGCTTAATTAGAAACTCAGAGTTGAAAAGAGTGAGCATAGGTGACATTGTGTCTTAGCAGGAAAGCTGCAGGAGGCAACAGGAATGGATAGACACAAATAAGGATGGCAAGCATGACTAGGTTGGAAAAGAGCAGAAAAGCAGGAAACTAGATGAATCAGAAAAAATCTGCCTGTGCAAAACTGTCTTTAAGTCACTACAAGACACATTTTTCTGTGGATCTTTGTACTCTGAACATTCTTGTCCTTCCACTGCTGTAAAATATCTGGACCATTGAAAACGTAATGAAATACTTTCTCCTCTAGAGGGAAGAGCTACCTACTAATGCCAACAGTATGTTTAATCAAGTGAGTAGTTTTGTTAGTGACTTCTATTTATGCAAGTGACACCATTCCAGGCTGCCAGAATAACTTCAGGTAAGCAGTTCTCTAACAGAAAATACTTTAAAATTCAATCACTTTTGTCTGCACTTTTTTCTGAAGGAAAGAAAAAGCACACAAATGTCAAAACATCTGATTATTCCACTTAAAAATAAATTTTTATTCCAATATACAAGTGTTTTTTGCCTTGAATTTAAAGTACGGACATTTCAGTCTTATGGAATTTAAATGCATGTACATCTGCAACAAATTTATTAGACATCTATTTCAGGAATAATATTTTTTACTTTGAAACAGAAATAAAAATAAGCTTCTAATAAAATAATAAATAATAAAATAATAATAAATAATAAAATAACTCTGTGATGGAAAAAAAAAGGAAATATGTTCTTTCCCTAGTTTTGTGATGTATACTATTTCATGTGTGAAGTTTTTTTTTTTTCCAAAGGATCCTCACTTAATTCAATATATAGAACATGCTAGAAAATGCATAATGGTCTTTCCTCTCGTTTTATATTTGTATTTATATGTATTTGTATATTTTTCAGTGGCTGCTCTATAGAAGTGGTGACAAAGGTGGAAAATACTTTCTCCCTCTTTCAGGGGGCCCATTAGGGATCAGGCTAAATCACAGCTCTCACCCCTGTGAGGGCAGGGAAGAGAGGTGGCCGTGATTCAGCCTTCTCCACCCTCGGTTCTATATCAGCAGCTGGGCTACATCTTCCAAAAACTGCTTTTAGAAAACCTAGCTACACCATTCCTAGCAGTTCACAAAGAAAGCTTCTCTGCTCCTCCTTGAGGCACATGCCTGCCTACCAGCCATTCCAAAGGCTCTGCCAAAATGCCCCCCAACCCTTGGATCCCCATTCCCCCCTAAAAAAGCCCTTTAGGTAAAGAGGTTGGTTCACATGATGGTAGCTCTCCTGGTTCCACCTTCTAAATCCTATTAAAAGACAGCTAAAATATGTGATTATTATTCAGGATATTACTTTTCAATCCAAACTATTCCAGCAGCTGTCACATGGACAGTTTTCTCAGTCTCAGAATGGACTGACAGAAAAGAAAAGCAATAGTCTAAGAAACTGCTAATAGGAAGAAGATGGGCAAACATTTTTATCAAGATATAGAAAAAACTTGAGAGCTCTGTTATGAGAAATGTATGTTTTCCCTTAGCAGGAACAGCCAGGGAGGCAGAAGACAGCAATTTCCTTCATTTGTGTGAGTTCATCTGTTGTTGAACTTTGCTTTCCAGCAATGACTTCTTTCCCTTAGGACCATAAGTGTGAGTCTAAGCCATACTTCCCTTCTTTCTGAATAATAGTTAGGGGCAGGCATTTCCAATGAACTCCTCTGTTGAAGCCTATGCTCTTTCAGCTCTCTCTTTTTAGCACCTTGAAGCTCATGTTCACTCTGCTCTGTACTGTGAAAGCTCACAAAACAGATAGCTCAAGGAAAAAGCAAAAACTTTTCCAGACACTTGAACTTGATAGAAGTTTATTTGCCCATAGCAATCCCTTCCTCCTCAAATGCAGTGTTTATGAAAGTGTTTGTGAGAAGACAGCAAAGTAAACACATTATTGCTGCTGTTTCTGCATGTATTTTCTCTGCAAATACACTTTGCCTTCCCTAAGGATACCAGAAGGGGCCTTCCTTTTGCTTCCTTTCAGTGTAAGCTGAAACTCACTTTACTGAAGAATTATGAAGCAATGCCAAAATAAAAAAAAAGAAATCACAGGCAACTGTGTGCTGTGGTGGAGGAGCTTGTAGACACTTTACATGCAGCAGGAAAAATGACAAGGTTAGTGCTTCACTCAGCTAAGTAGATTACCAAATGTTCTGAATTTACAATTTAAATGAATCAATAATTTTGGCTATTACTCTAGATTTACTAGTGGAGTTAAGAAAAAAAAATCTGCCCATTGTTTTTAAGGCAGCTGTTAGATATATGAAAATTAAAACAGGCTTCCTAATGCAAAAAAAAGTACCCTAACAACCAAACAACAAAAAACCCTGACACACACACATATATCCTACCACTGCTAGCAAAAGTACATTAGAAAACTCAAGATCATTACAGAGGCAAAAAATTGCCATAGACTACTTTACAATGCAACTAATTTGTTGAATTATTTGATAAATCATCTTTCTCTGCAAAAGAGCAGGTTTAGACAAAGGTTTTCAAAAACTAAAAAAGGCAGTAGGCACCTAAATCTCATCATCTTCAGTGAAGATGGTGTTCCTAGCTTCCATTTATTTTATTTGGAATCATCATCGCACTTAGATTTTCTTTTCACTCTAAACTCTTAGTTCTTCAGTTTCCCTTGACAAATCTGATGTGAGCATAATTAGAGTGATGAAACAATCAGATCCCTGTCCTGGTCTGGATAAGCCGAGTGGCTTTTCAGTTGTTTTTGTTAGAAGTTTTTGCCTGCATGAAAAATGTTTTTCTTTCTCTTTAAGAAGGATGGACAAACGTGCCATGGTTAACAAACAAACTGCAGACATTTATGAGAATGTACAGTCTCATCTGGGAAACATTATGCAGTGATTAAATTCAAAGTAATTTCAACCTAGGACTTACTATTTTTTCTTGTTTGTTTGATTTGGCTATCAAGATTGATCACTGTGGAGAAATGAATCACAACAGTGGCAAATCCTAGGACAGACCACTTAATTAGACCTGTTGCTTTCATTAAGAGTTAGGTTTACCTTACAAAAGAAGACACTGAACTATTTAATATAGCTAAACATTAGCAAATTAAAAATACAGTACATCTGTAGAGTACATCAATGTGAATTGATCTATACTGAAAACATTCATCAGTAAGTGTCCTTACACCTGTAGGATGGTAGCATGTTAATGACCTGGTTGAATGTGAATAATGAGGAAGACTCTTCCAATCCCTGCTTCCCACTGCTCATTCTCCAGCATCACCCATATCATTCATCCCTCTTCTTTTATCTCCTTCTACTCTGATTTTCACTTATCTTCACACTCCTCATCACTCCACCCCTCTTCTACTTGCAATGCTCAGACTTGGGAGAAGAGTTTCCTCTTTGTATTTTTACAACTATCCTTCTTTTTCCTTTGAACCCTCCTGACTCCATATAGCTTTAACAAGAGTTCCTAGTTTACAGTGGTTTACAGTGGGTGGGCACTGAGCTGCACTAGTTTGAGGACAACTCTGTGATCACAAGTTCCCTAAAAACGCCGCTTGTAGGTGGCCCTGAGCACCTCCGGAGGGCACTGTAAGGACACCTAAAGGAGGCTCTGTCTTTCTCGTCTGAGGAACCAACAAACAACGCTGAGCATCTCTGTCCTGCCAGAACCTAGACCACCACGCAGGTAACTGTTACCCTTTACAGAGGGAAAAGTATGGGGGTGCTGGGGATTTTTGCTCCCTCCTATTAGTCACTATATAACTGTTTTTGTTTTGCTGGTTAGACTGAGACACAGAAGCTTTGGGCTCATTAATCTCCTCTGCTCAGCCTGACAAGAATTTCAGATGAGAGCCCTAGCCCCAGACCTACTTTGTGAAGAGGGATCTCTTTGTGAAGATCTCTTTTGCTGAAGAGGGAATTCTATCCAATGATGAGTTCTAAGGCAGACCAGGAAAAAGTCTGCTACAAGTAGTGTTTCAGACCTTACTCCTTGCAGTATAAATGGACACTATTAGACCGTAATAGGTCCCAGTTTTGTACAATCCTGGGAATATGAACCTAAATATGAGAACATTACTCATCAAATGTCTGCTCAGACTGTTGGGGCAGAGAGTGGGGCAGGAGAATCCCTTCCCTTTTCTGAGTAAGAGTTTGCTCTTTATGTTATTATGCAAAAAAATAACATTTCCTTGCATCCTTCCCCAGAGCAAGGTAGTCTGAACTATGGTGTGGGTACCTAGTTCAAAGCATCCAGTCCACCCAGTGTTCCATGTACAAAACAAGACAGGGACAGTGAACAGATGTTCTTGCTGCTGACTGGGAATCAGGTGGAACCTATGTGTCAAAATCTCAGTATAAGCAAGACTTCAGGAAGCTCGTTCTTGTCCCTTTATACATTGACTGTTCTATAATCAGGACTCAGAAAGCGAAACCATGGCTGCTATTCTTATTACACTGATAATATTTTCCCTTCCTTCTTCTTCTGTTTAATAAAAGATATTTCCTAAGCATAGACTTGCTCAGCCTTTATTGTCACATCTTCCTGGCTAATACAATAGAGCTGATAGATGATAAGAATCTGGAAATGGTCAAAATCAGAAAAATGGCCACTGTACTAAATCAAAGTTTTGGTTGATAAACTTCTCTCAACACACTTTTTAAAGCTTGATACTTATGCTGAATATCATTAACAGTATAACCATGTTTACCACTCAAGGTAAATTAATTTTCCTTCCTTAGTTCTACTTTTAGCAAACACAGCCATGCCATATTGGTTTACCAAAAATAAAAATAACTAGAATGATCAGATGCTTTCTGATGAAGCAAGAAATCCATTTTAAAGCCACCCAGAAACTTAATCCTCAGTGTAACTCAGCTGAACTGTTGTACTAAGTAAAAACTGACTGAAATGAAGGTATCTGAAGATCCACATCTGAAAGAGACGCCACTGAGACAATCCACAAGTTAGTGTAATCCTCTAATATCTGATCTGGAAGCAAGTGATCAGAAGGTAATTTTCCATGTGATAATGTCAGTGCTTGTACATCATGACATAACCCCTCCTTTAACCGCACATTAGAAAAACACATTACATCAGTACATTTAAATCATCCTGATTTTTTTTTTTCTTCTTTTACATTGTGTTAATCCATGTTTCCTGACTTATTGGCAGAACAAAATGAAAACCTATAGACAGCTGGATGTCATATTTCAGTCTGTAAAATTATTACTTTGCAAACCACATTTGATTCATTCCAAAGCTTCAAGAAGAGTTTAACCTCAGCAGGCACAACCCATCACATATTTACATATGTAAGAAAATGTATTTAAAGTCTGACATATCATCTGATGTCAAAACAAGTAAAATCTATGAAACTATAAAACTGTGGTAGTAGTTTCTCTCTTTTGTTTTTACTGGCTATATAAACATGCTGATACAGATGTCTTTATGCTGCCTCAACCAGTTTCAGATGGAATGAATAAATTTTGTTCTGCCCATAGATTTTTTTCTTTTAGAAGAGCAATTAGTAGGTATTACCACTAGTAATTATACTGTAAAATGGTATAAAGTTTCAGGCACCAAGGAGTGCATTGTGCTGAGGCACTTCAGAATCACAGCAGAGAAGTGGTCTCACCTCCAAGTAATTTTACAGCACATGTGAATCATCTCAAGGCTACAGATATCTGAAATCTGTTTTACTGCTAGCTATTTTTGCTACTTCTAAATCTATTATCTTACTAGTCTGCTTCATTGGCAGTGAAAGCAGTGGTTTGCAAATTACACCATATTCTCTGTACAAGTAACCCTGTAGTTTCTTGCCTATTTATAAAAAGTCATGATTTCCTAAGTAGCTTTTTAAGATTTTGCAACATACATTTTGCTTTCAAACATCTTCCAACATTTTACACCTTTTGAAATGTCTCTCTTAGAACAGTCTAGGATCACTAGCAATGCACAGCTGACAGGAAAATCACTGGGTTTTACTAAAATGACTAATAAACAAGTCCTCCTACCTTTAAAGTGAATGGAAAGTCTGACTTTGTCTTTCGTGGGCGTTAAATATAACTCAAAAAACTCTCTTCAAATTCATGCAGCCAAAAGTAAAAGGTAGGAAAAAAGAATATATAGCATTTAAGTTATTTTTATTTAACTGTCCATTTGTTACCACCACATTAGAGGGAAAGATCAGCTATAATTTGTGCCTAACTGGATATATTTTTACCCTGATAAGTCAGGTGATAAATCTCTTCACCTGATTGAATCCAGTAACAAATATTTAGCTCTTGCATATTTTAGGTATTTCTGTATTTTGAAAATGTAGCCATTTGCATTGGCTCATGATGTATGTAAAAACCTCATAACTATTGCTGTTATTTCAAATACAGTAGTTGAGCATCACAATAACTCTATGAGAAACACCATTACTATGTCAATTTGTAAAAAAAAATATTTTTTTTAAACCAGGCAGGGGTAACTGCCTTATTTTTGTAGTTTGTTGTTTTCAAGAAAATGTGATCACAGAACAATGCATTTTTCATACAGCTAATATTATCACTTCTATCACTCCAAATGAAAACTGGTATTTAAGACCGAATTGGAAAAAAAAAAATAGAGAAAGAATAAAGGTAAACTCATCCAAAAGTGAGCCTCTCTATCTCTTTTGCCTAACCCTGAAGATGCCATTAAGTACACATATACCTAAGGAAGGAGAAGAGTGATTTCTTTGCATTTTCACACAATCCCAAGCACTGACATCATTGCAATGTCTCACCTTGATCTAGTTGGGTCAGGTTGCATGCAAAACACATTAGCCAATACTTAATTTGAAATAATGTTGGTATTGGCGAAAGCTAGAGTCCCCTTTAACAGAGTGGTCCACCAACAACTTGAGATCTCATGCAAAAATTAGAAGGCTAGGGAAGGACTCCAAGTTATGGATCTCGGGTAAGGATGTCTTCCTAAGGCATGCAGGCCCCAGGGAGTTTTAGACTGAGAATATTTATCTGTCCAGTTTAACTTTCATGCGACTTGCTAGCACTTGTTTTTAGGAGCCCAGTCTTCTAAATTTCTTGTGCAGGGGCTCAGTAGAGAAATCTGATTTTTAAATGAGGACAAGATGCTATGTTAAGAGTTCCCAGACTTTTATCTGAGTCTTCACCTACACCAAGTTAAAAAATAAGGGAAAACAGTTAGAGGTAAGAAGTTTTTATATGCTAATGAATGCCATCTATTTAAAACCTCATTCCACCTGCACTGTGCCACAGCTGTTACCACTAAAACCAATAAGCAGAACTCCCACAAGCCAATAATAAACATCAGTGACATACACATCATGCAAATCACCAGTTATTAGTAATATAGAGAAAAGCAAAAAAGGTTAGCAAACACTGATCTTCCCTTGTCCCTATTACTACTATTACTTAATCTAATTTTCACTTTTTTGTATAGATGATTTATGGTAACCTTATTTTTCACAAAAGCAAAAAAGTGATGTCACTACAGAACAAGTTGTGATATTGACCTGTTTTTGCTATTACACCCAAGAAAATCTTTTGCTGAGCTGGTACAAATCTAGGAGTACTAGAAGACCTTCAGTCTTACACTGAATATAACCAAACTTTTTATAATATTCAGATCAGTTTTCAATTCTACCACTTTTGAATCATTTATAGAGATTTAGATATGTCAAGATTCGGCAAACCAATACAGAGGACACGCGGCAAGTTTTTCCTTCTTGTCTATTTCCAGACCCATGAAAAAATGAAATAATAATCTAAGGACAAGAATTCAGAAAGATTAAAAACAATACCTGCTATCACAAGATTAACTGATTTGATGTTTTTGTTTTGCTCCTCCATATATCCTAGGTATAATAGCTGCTGTGATAGTTTAGGCATGGATTTAAAAGGAAAAATTCCTGCATTTGGTTTATTTTTTACTACCTTTCTTCTCATATCTATAAAAAAGTGCCAGTTATGACACTGGTTTTATTCAAACTAATTGTAAGACTACAATTGAAAAGAAATTAACCGAAATAACAACTGATTAAAAAAAAGACATTCCTCTTACCTATAAAAAGTGTTCCTTTTATCTTCTTCTGTGTCAGAGTAAATACTGAATAAGGTAGTTTGCCATGGCATCCACCACAGATGGCAAAGGGTGGCTACATCAAGTACAGAGTCCTCCTTCTTCTCACAGGCAGACACAAGACACTGTGCCACAAACTGACATGGAAACCAGCCAAAGATGTCAAAACCTTCTCTACACCTGGAGATTGCTGCCCTGCGTATTTATAAAAGGAATAAATCAAAATGTGGGATAGGAAACTAAAAATAAATTTATTTACATAATTTTTTTGTGGTTTATTTAGAGAGAATTTGTCTGCATGCATTCCATGTGAGGCAGGGGGAGAGAGCATGCACAGGTGCACATGGCAGGGTATGGGTGCAGGCACTCAAGGTAGAGAAAGGCTCTAAGGACATCCACATCCATTTTCTGTCTCAGAGTACAGAGAAATTTGTGGAGGGAGTCCTGTCACAAAAGATTGTGACTGAGTCTGGTGCATGCACACCAGAAAAAGCAGAAAGGTTTCATTTGCTCTGCTATTGCCTTCTAAATCAAGTTAGTATTGACAGTTAACTTAAGCTGACATAAGACCCTATGACCAACATAAGCTGACAAAGGCCATTGCCAAAACAAATATCTTGCCCTTTTCCATTCTCTTTCCCCAAATCTTCATGCCAAATGCTTGTTCCTGCCACAAGGGAAGACCAAAGAGACTAAAATGTAATCTGACAAAAATAAAATAGTATTAATTTCCACCTGGACCATTTTTTTGACAAGCAAATCCAGTCGCATAGGTAATTGCTACTGCAGACACAGGGAACACAGCAGGACACATGGGCAGAGACTAGGGATAGAATAGCACCTAATGCTTTAATCAGTTTAAAATGTTCCTCAAAGCACCAATAATTCTCTTTCAACAGAGAAACAATAGTCCTGTGTGCTATTGTGTGCCCTGCCCTGCTCTTTCATTCAGTCAGATTTTGCTAATCGCACCCCTGAGAAAATGGCATGTCTGGAGGACTTCTGCCAAGAGCATGAAAAAATATCAAGTACCTTTATTCTATTAGCATTTTATGCAGTGATTAGTGTCTAATTACAAATCATTATGGTCATGGTGCATTTAGTAAGTATATCCCAACAGCACAATTTCTCCAGGCTCAGTATCAGTTGAGTAAGTAGTCACCTGGAGGAACTGAACCTGGAAATTCAAGTTAAACTTTGGCTTTCTGTTACTAGAGCTGAAAATCAGATCTCAGATCCAAAATTTTCTTAACCCTCACAGCACTAAAACAGGTACACATGGATCATAACATCCTCTTTCAACCACAAAAGCCTGTGCCATGTTCACTCTTTTAACCCATGCTCTGGGAATCACACTTGTATCACTGATACTTGTGATGGGATGACACCTGCTGATATTAATTTGAAAGCACAAATCAATAATAAACAAATAAATAGGTAATATTTATTTTATTTGTAAGCACAAACTTACACTAATTCACCTGAAAAAGCCTTGCTATGACCATAGGGCAGGCTGGAGTTTTAAGGGGGAATTTTCACTATTCTGTTATCCTAAAACAACCAAAAGGGGTTTCAATGGAACCTCCCTATCCTATATTATTTCTTGCAGGTGAGCTCTTCTACTAAGCTTGACCTGAACCAGCACCCTGATATTTTTCTGTGTTGCAACAAACTCTATACAGACTCTCTAAAGTCTCTGGAAAGCCTCTTTCCATCCTGTCAGCAGCCTAATGATCTGCAGATATACATCATGATCTTCTCCAGATCTCCTAAACTCTGATGTGTTCCATCTTCCTCACTGTGTTTTCATATATCCCCTTCTTTCTGTTATGCTTCCTTTTTGTCTGCAAAACCTCTCAAGGAGCACATGCTCCCTCAAAAATCTGTCTGTTCCAGATGAAGGAAACATCAGCCACCTTCTCAAAGGCCCAGCACCTTCCTTCTGAAGGAGAAGAACACATAATTTTTGATAAAATGGTTATTGCCCATTACACCCTGCAAACTAAAACTGTTTATGCCAACTTTACAGTTAACTTTCATACAGCATTATCGCATCATGAAAAAAAGTGATGACCCCAGCAGGGATGAAAACAGCTTTCACCAGAACTTTAAAATTAATCAAAAATCTGTTTACTTTTCTTAATAATATACACAGACATACATTTCTTTTATCATGACAAATGTTTACCAATAGGAAACTTCCAAAAGAAACTATC